GGACAAAAGTGAGACATTATCTTTTCCTCTCTTCCAAAAAAAAAACCACGTAATTTCTTTTTCTTGTGACAAGGAAAGGAGACAATAAATTTAATTTCCAAGTGCCTCCTACCTGTATGCCAAAGACATTAATGGTATTTCACACACTGATGCAAGAGACTTCAGCTGCAGTACAGCTACCAAGATTTTCAACTGTTTATCACTATAAAACCACAAAAATACTGTGGATATTGGAAGAAGGCGCTGCTATAAAACTCATTCAAGCAGAATGGCTAAAAACATTCATTTGCCTTCATCTTGTCCTAGGCAACTTCAAATGCTCTAAAGAATTTCAGTTTGCAGCGCAGTCCTCTGGTTTCCTTAGCAGAGCTTAGAGACTGCATCCTTGAGGAAGCCACTGGGTAAACTAAAGGCCCTTGCAATTGTCACTCACTCGGTATCCCACAAGACTGCTAACATTGCATGGGGGATTGACCTAGCATGGAAATTTAAGCACAGTTCTCTAAAGTTTCAAATGGATTTGGTCTTTTGTCTGTCTTCCAGCTTGCAGCCTGATGTGTGTTTCTACATGCTGTTAAACAGTTGTTGTTCAGCAGAAACAAGATGTAATTCCAGCCTAAAGACGACTTCAACTATTTATGATAGCCATCATCTATGGATCTTAATTCACTTTTTAAATTTTAAATGCCACCTTTACAAAGCAGCTTCATTCAGAAGGACAGAAAGAGAGCTGGAGACAACTGAATTGATTTTAATACATTTCATGACCTCTAGGAGCATAAGATCATTTATTCATTAAGCTGTTCTAAATGAAGAGGGTATTCCAACTAACAATGGTCATAAGAGAATGCTGTACTGAATGCTACATCTCCTAGAAGCCTGCAAAATAAGTGAGATGCCATCAGAAAGCCTACCTCAGATCTAATGCACAAAATGACTAAATCCATGAATGCAAATCTTGATCATGACTCAGGCTGTAGCCTAACTGGTTAACTAACTTTTGCAGAAGCCAAAACTAATGTCAAAAAGAACACATCACAGCTACAAAAGGGAAAGTATGAAACTAGCTACAGAAGATCACAAACGAACACCAAGCCATGCTGTTAAGACTTATTCCTCTTGTACTGAACTTCCCCCCCACCACCATACCACACTTCCAAATACCTTTAGGTCACCAGCCTCAGGTTTTTCAGTCTCTGAATCGTCATCTTCCTACAAGACAAGAATTTACAGGATTAAACTTAAAGAGCAGGCCTGGCAAGTAACCGTACTTACAGCAAAGGGCTTGCACTCAGCAGCCCAGCAGTAGTCCGAGACCCTTTCCATGGAAGGTAGTTTTGCCCCACCCACTCATGACCAGAAAACAAGTCCTACAGTCAGGACAAGAAGCGTTTGTTTGGTTTTTGGTGTTTTTTTTTTTAGTCAAAAGCATCACTCAGTAGCAGATGTCCCCCGCAAAACTCAAGCAGCTCCTGAGTGCTCAGAACTAGACAATAAGAAGCAACAGAACTGGGAAAAAAGCATTTGTCATTTGATAATTCTGTCTCTTCCAGTTGGCAGGCAGGCTTTTTGCACTCGTCCCCATTTCGCAGTACTCCCAGAAAAAGCAGCATTTGCAAGACCTATAATAATCCCAAGCACACATCAGCAACACACAGAGGACACACCGCTGGCCTGCCATCCAGCCGAACATGCAGGCTTGGTGAGGGTCTGGCCTAGCATTAAGTGCCAAAGATTCAGTGATGCCAGCTGACACCACACCTTTCTTCTTTGTGTAGCGCGCTCGTCGCCTCATTTGCAGACGACATGGACTTGCACAGAAGGGAACAACTGACAAATTTCACTGTTTTAGGTAACAGACTCCATTCAGTTTTTATTTCTACCCAGAAATAAACCAAAGAACGGGGCAAATTTTTGCCCTGTGAGAGCTTAAAATACTAAACTGAGCTCTGTGTAAAATCCTACACCTCATGAGAAGCTCGCTCCAGCTTCGGTCCCAGCTGGTAGGCAAGCCTACTGTTCCACTGCCCTGTGAGCTACTTCACTGCGACCCTCAAGTCAGATGTGTTTCTAGACATAACTACATACTCTGGGTTCAAAGCAAGTTTGAGGAGCAGAAAGTGTTCTTCATGCTCACACAACTCAGCAGAACGGTTTTTCCCCTCAAACTTCACCAAAAATTTCAACTTTGGCCCCAAAATAAGAACTTGGTGTTTCAGCTTCAGAAAGAAAAGCAAAGAAGCAGCGAGATGATTACATGCAACTGAAAGGAAGAGTTTACAACGAAATGCCCACCTCGGAGTATGAGCACATGAGCAAGTTCTGGCAAGGCAAGGATGATTACATGCAACTGAATGGAAGAGTTTACAACGAAATGCCCACCTCAGAGTACGAGCACATGAGCAAGTTCTGGCAAGGCAAGCTAGAGAATTACCACATGATAATGTCAATAAATTTTAATTGCCTGAATTAACACACATATCCCACAGAAGTGAGAGATCAAACTCCTTCATTTCAGCTACTCTCCAGCTTACCTTTCCGAAACATGCACATATGCCAATAATTCAGTCTTTACTGTCAAAGTTTAATAACAGTATGTTTGGAACTAAAACCAAACCATAGTACTAAGTAACTTGGTGCTTATCACAAATGAGATTCCTCTCCCCTCCACAGTCCCACCTATATTATCAAGATAAAAGTCATTTTCAACAAAGCAACAATGGGTTGAATCATTCATGTTATAGACAGGTAACTGAAATGGCTCCCAAAGCCTCCGAACCTAGCAGTGAACATCACTGAAACAACATCAACAAACAAAGCAGCATTACAGAGAACTACCTTTGAAAAGACAGAGAGAGGCTTTTCAGTCACTGTTAAGGTAGACAATATAAGCACAGAGTTGTTTAGACAAAAGCCCAGGACACCTGAATCCAACTCACACTGCTTTCTAAATAAACCTCTAACCAGTATAAGCTACTAGCACAAGTAATATCAAGGAAGCTCTTGATTCTGGTCAAAGAATACTTAATGCAAAAAGCTAAGCATTGCTCTCCTGCAGTAAGACTGCAGAAGGCACCCTGTGCAACCTGCACACATCTGTACAGTAACTGCAAATATATGCAACACCTACTAGCTAACAGCAGACTGACTTGATCAATTACCATTATCTGAACAGCAACCTGTACCTCCCAGATGATGGGCAGCTGCAACCTGGACTGAAAATTGTGTGTTCAATAAAGACTACTTCATTTACCTGCCCTTTTGTCAATGCTAACTAAGCACAGCTGATCTCAACCATCTGTATCACACCTACCACTTCCTTTAAGCTACAGGGATCTCACTGAAGGGGAGGTCTAGAAGTTTTGAATATAAAAAGAAGAATTACTAAAGCAGTAAAAAAGCTTCACTGCTTTGCTAAGCCAGATGCCAAGAGCAGACCCTGAATGTGTTGCTTGCACCTTCTCCAGTTTGCAGCAGAACAAAAGCAAGAACAGGAGACTGACAGATTTCTTGTCTGCTACTGGAAAACCAGATGGCAGAAACAGCGAGTGTCTCATAAGACACTGGTCTAATGCACACAAAGTAGATATCAATGAGGAAAGATAACAGTAACACAGCCCTACTTTTTTTTGGCTCTGCGATAGACAAAAGAACTGGATCACATGCCATGCGCCCATGACAAACAAAAGGGACTCATGTCTAGACAGGACACTGCTACATCAAGGTAACCTGATGTAGTAAGTGGATTGAGTTATACACAAAATAATAATTTAAGACGTTACAGAACCTTATTCTTTTCAATCCTCAAGCTGACCATGCAACAGCGTGTTCCTCTTACAAGGTTCTCATATATGTCAACTACACTTAAAGAATAATTTTCATTTAGCGTGGCTGTTAATTTGCACCGGCCTTTTTCCCACAAAAGACTCAAATGGCATCAACACAGTAACAAGCAACACGAGCTGCGCCAAGCTGCTGATGGGTTTCAAGGCAGATGCTTTCTACTTGAAAAGAAAGTGAAAAGACGTGCTTGGGAAGTGCTGAAACCCACTCCAGGAGTCAGATATTCCAGGTTCCATCACGGGTTGCCACTCGGGGGTTTCCTTTGGAGAGAGAAAAGCCTCTGCAACACGCGAGAGGGATCAGGGCAAGCTCTCGGCGCAGAGAGATACTTACTGACTGCCTGCTGTTCTCGTCATCCTCTTCTTCATACCCGTCCTCGTCCCCTTCCAGGCGGGTGAAGTCGTCGTCTCCGTACGCGACCGAGACCAGGCCTCCTTTCTCTCCTAAAGAGGAAGGGAAAAGGAAAACCATAAGGAAAGGCCAGGCGGCAACGAGCGCGGCCTTGCTCTCACGGAAGGGGAAGGTGGCGGCCCCCCTCGGCCCACTGCCTTCCCCGGTCCCCTCCCTGCCCTCACC